AAAAGCTTTGTTTATCATTTACTCAAAATGGTAAATTAATCTCAGAAGGTCATTTTCCTAGCTCACACCCCATATGTATCCGGATGGGATATCCATTATAAGCATTTGTAGGTATTGAGCTTAATATAATAACATTGATCAGTGTGTTTATATATTAAAAGGTATATATTATATCAAAAATATTTACCGGAATGCAAAAGTCCGACAATTTCGATCTGATTCTTTTTGACAAAACTAACACCGTGCTTTTTAATTTTTTGAAATAGCATATCGCGCATTATTTTGGGCATCTTCAATGAACCGTCAGATAAATATTTGGTGCCGTCTTCTCCGGTCCAAGTGCGACCTTCTTCACTAACTGCAAATTCTTCTGGCGATCCCAAATCACGTACAATTCCATCACACTTGCGTCCCATGATCTTCCTGACCTTCGGATTCTTTCTTTCACGGTTTTTTTCGCTGTCTTGATGCACCAGAACAGCCTTCGCCTCGGATAAATTCAATTGTCTCGAGATCAATAAAGCAGGCATCAACTATGACACTCCAAATATTACTGGTAAACCATCCTTCTAAATGGCCTCTTGTGAAGTCATTCGGTCTCAGTTCGTACCTGGGAAGGAGTTGCGAAAAAACTTGATGGATATAGTGAAAATTAAAATGTTTTTTTGAATCATAGGGAGAAATATTGATGCCAGAATTGACCAGTTCTCGCATTTCGTTAGGCTGAAATTTACGATATCTCATAAGATAATTAATCAATTCATCTGATAATTCAGGTTCGGGAGAAGTATTGTATGTAATTATATGATCATGGTCAACATCTTTGAAAAGATCCATTATAGCATCATTGCTGGTGTCGATTATGAAGCTATGTAATTGATCTTCGTATTGTAAATCTTTTGCATGTTCATACAAAATATCTTCGACGTAATCGCCCGAAGGCAACTTCCACTTCTTATCGATATGCATATTGAGGAACTTCATTTTATATTCTAATTTGGCATGATCGTTCATGAAACCGTCCTCTTCCCTTTCAAGACTTTCTTTGATATCTTCATTACCATTATCAAGAGTTCCATTGTCGGAGCACCCAGATGCATCACCTAATTCAGATTCGGAAGATATGGAGTAGTTCGGCAATTCACGCTTCTAAAAAGGATCATTAATTAGGGCTATCTTGGATTGGTATAAATAATCTGGACTTTGAAATTATAATACCTCATCTTTGTTTTTTTTGTCTAAAAACGGATTGTTTTCGAAATCTAAAATTGTTTCTTGAGGCTCGTAAGATCGCTTTTGTCCTGAATTCTTTACATATGATTCATCCAACAGATCTTTTTCGATCAGATTAGCAGTTGTTTCTCGCAGTAAATGATCTTGTTTTCGGATATCTTTCGTTGCATCCAGAATCTGTCGGGCCTGTAATGGACCTTTCAGCATACAATATTAAGATCAAATGTAATAAGATATCAAATAAACATACTAACCCGTTCGAGACAAATATGGTTTTTTAGTTCGTTCTTTGCCAGATTAAATCCAATATTGTTAGGAAGTGTGTCAAAACAACAAGCCATTAAATTTCGGATATATCATAAAGACGACTTACTTGTTGCAACTGAGCTTTCTCCTCAAGTATCTTGCTTTCCATATGAATGGTTTGTCTCTTCGTTTGTAAATCCCAAAAAGAAATTAATAATTGCGATTTTTTATCGAGCTTGTTATAGAAAGAATGTAAGAGAATATTAAAGAAAGCATTAGACCAGCCTAAAACAACAGACAAACACGCAGTCTTTCCAGGTAGTCCGTTGAAACATTAATAGCCCACTAACATACAGCTCACTGCATGCTCATCAACTGACCGCGGTCTTTTCCCACTGCCAATCGCAATTTGACAGGGTAGTTGATGACGGAGCGCTAAAGTGTCGCACTTAACACTGACATACAATTTATTATATGTTCACCAACTGACCGCGGTCTTTTCCCACTGCCAATCGCAATTTGACAGGGTAGTTGATGACGGAGCGCTAAAGTGTCGCACTTAACACTGACATACAATTTATTATATGTTCACCAACTGACCGCGGTCTTTTCCCACTGCCAATCGCAATTTGACAGTGTAGTTGGTGGCAGAACTAATGCGACACAAGCTGTTTAATCAATCAAAAAAAAAAAAAAATAGCCACCTTAAATGAATCAATCAACTTTGTTGCTTTTTTCCCGATCTCGGACGTTTCAGAATAGTACCTTTTAATCGTATCCAATTCACTTTTGTAATGCTGATACTCGGATTTTTTATCTTTTAGAACACCTTTTTGGAATCTAAATTCTAGAAATTTTTCAAGTGAAGGATCGTTTGTACTTTCCCAAAAGTCTACATATTCATAGACGACAAGTTACATTATATTCTCATAAGAAATTACCACTACCACAGTTTAACTTACCGTGGGTTTTCAATGAGTTGAGACAAACGGTCGACAAGTGCATTTGAAGTGCTCAGAGTATAATCAATTAGACTGCTAAGCCACGAAAAATTAACGCGTTCTTAATTATATTTAAATTACATAATGTTACACACAGCACAGATGGAACGCAGTACACATCGTGTCACCGTCGATCAAATGCCTGAAATTTTATTGATTTATACAGTATAGCTAATCAGAAATGGTAGAGAAGCGAATGAAATATATAGAGGGAGGGGAGTACGCGGATCCTAGGCCATTTAATGCGAGTCCCAGCATCAAGTTATTTCTTTGCTCTCTCAATTTTGTAAATTTCTATACTATTTGGTTTTTCCTATCACTAATACTAACTACGAGATTCTCACCACCATACTCTTTTTCTACACTAGAATACCGAAATAAATTTTCATATTTACAGAAGTTTTGTCTATCTATATCACTCCCAAATACACAGATTATATAAAATATTATTCCTTGAAAGAAAACTTCTTCGAGATTAAGACCTATAGCATAATTAAGTGAGTATTAGCAACTAAGGCAAAAAAAAAAATAATACAACATTACCGATTTACACTTACCATCACAATTCATTTTCGCATAATTCCATTCCGCCTTATATACAAGAAATTGATTGCTTAATTTTTCTCTGGAACGATACTGCGCAAAGTTTCAAGAATTCGGCACGTGAAGATGCTTATGCTGGAAAAATTATTTGATATACCGCGCAAGACTTTTGCTGTGCCGTTGCATGTGACGAGATTCATATGAGTAATTTCACTGCGTCTATTGTACGCGTGATGATGGTCAGTGATTTTCTCGGCAAAGATCAAAATGCCGATATATAGCAAGAAGAGTACATCCGGTTTATTTCTTTTTCCTCTTATAATCGGAAAAAAATACATGGATAACATCGTATCCCCTCCTAATTTAGAAAAAAAAAATGTTATTTCCAGAGGTCTATGGAAGGAGAGACGGGATTTTATTTTTTATTATATCGATTAGCAGTTTGGATTGATGACGCAAAGTAAGTTTGAATT